GGACCGTGTAGCCCACTGGAATCTGTAACTCCTTTGCTCCTGAGCCTAGAGTATTCAAATCGGGGCTTGCGCGGACCGTGTAGCCCACTGGAATCTGTAACTCCTTTGCTCCTGAGCCTAGAGTATTCAAATTTGGCAGAGATGCAGGCGGCAAGATGGAGAAACTAATGACAGGTGGCAGGTGTAGGCTCCGCCCACTGGGGGCGGGGCTTCCTCAAAAATATTCTATTTGGACCTAAAGCGTTAAAAATTGGCAGAGATGTAGGCGGCAAGATGGGAAAACTAATGGTAGGTGACAGGTGTAGACTCCGCCCAGTGGGGGCGGGGCTTCCACACAAATAGTTAATTTGGACCTGGGGCATTCTAATTTGGCAGAGATGCAGGCGGCAAGAAGGGAGAACTAATGGTAGATGACTCCACCCACCGGGGGCGGGGTTTGCGTAAAAATACGAAATATAGACCTGCCTATTACGACATAAATTTCATCAAACAATATACTGGCCAACGAGATCGTCGATGCGTAGGCTATCAAATGCCTACTGCGACGGGTGCGGATAAATGTCAGAGTGTAAACAAATTTCATTCTCATCTCCAATGAAATGAAGGCATTCCACAATGGTTAGGGATAAACAAGAAACTGATGATTTCAAGGTCCTTCCCATGGCTTCTTGGATTGTCTCAGTCAGTATATTTATGAACGAATATTAATGATTGCCAATTGACGCTACTATTTTGCGTTGAAGAACGGTACTGTCCATTTTTTGGAAGAGGGTGGTTACTGTGTTGCTAAGACGATCACGCTCTAAGTTATCTTCACGGAAATTTATTTATCGCAAGCCATGAGACGCGCACGGTATCGTGAGCAGCACAACAGCTTTTTTGAACAGATGAGTTGAGCCGGACTTAATTCATTATGGGCGAGGAGCTCACGGAGTGTATATATATATGTGTGTTTAGCCAAAAATATTTCTTTCCTTTTCAACTGTACCAGAGCATCCAAATTTGCAGGAAGCGTAGGCGACGGGCTATTTTTACACGGAAAGGAGCGCCCGGGCGTAAAATAAAGTCGGCCAGGCATAAAATAAAGTCTACAATAACCCTGGCCGCACAGGTTTGTACCCCGTAGAGGCGTGTAAATTCCTACAACTAGCCAAAGGGGCTTTCCTTTCAAAGTTAGTGTTCATGGCCACACACAGTCCAAACTACACAGGGTTTCTTCGATTACATGGACTGCAAATTTATTTGATTCGGGTGCATCGGAATACTCTTCAAGGCCAGACACAGCCCCATTTCACATCCCAAAAAAGATGATGGCCGCTACAGAAGTGTCAGGGAAGAGGCTCAGATGATAACGTTCTATAATGAAAATCAAAAGCTCATGTGGCTCCGTCCCTCATTGCTAGACCCCCTAGCGCACGCAAGAGCGTGCGTAGCTGCCTGGTTTTGCCTAAAAGCGGTATTATTTCATCTCCAATCTTCGACAAGACAATTCAACTCGAATCAACTTCATGACCAGGATGTTGCCATTCTATAAGGAAGTCATTGTCAACGTGAGGAACAGGGTTCAGCAGGGCGATACAGTCTCGCTCAAACTTTTCGGTGCCGCTCTCGACACCATCATGCGTCATTTGGAAAGGGAAGACTTGAGAGTGAAGGTCAACGGTCGCTACTTACATCATCTCCGCTTTGCGGACGACATGGAACTTACAACACCGAAGAAGCAGGAAAAGCGAATGCTGGTCAAATTTGACAGCCCTTGGGGAAAGCTCAGCTCAAGACTGAACTCAAGGAAGATGTTCATGAGAAACGTATTAGTACCAGATGCTCCCTTTACGCTGAACGAAACGAATATGCCTGAATGCTCTTATTACGTGTTTTGATCGAGAAGTCAAGATGATAAACGACCTTGCTCCGGATCTGAGCGGAAGGAATCGCGCGACTTGGGTAACACTTGGAAGTATCGAAGAGAAAGTGAAGAAGACAAAGAACATCCGACCCACCTTCACGACGCTGGTGCCCTTCCTGCTTCGACGTACGCTTCGGAGACTTGCACTCTACGAAAATAGGATGAAATGCAGCGGCATCATTCAACACTCTGTCGAAAATATGATGCTGGGAGTTTTCCAAGAACCAACGAAGGTCAGGGATGCAGTTGTTAACGGCAAGGAATCGAAGAAAATGTGCCAGACACGTTATGCGATATCGCGATGCTCGTTCGACAGGGCGGTTACTAAGTGGATTCCTGGGGGCGTCAAACTAGGAAACTAGGACAGTCGCAGCGCGTTGGTCAGACTTCTTAACGATAGCTTCATATAAGGGTGGTTTATGAGCTTGGTTGAACAAAAACTAGCAAGCCCAGAAGAAAAGACAGTCGTATTTCCTAAGAAGTAAGACTGATTACTGACGCCGAAAAATGCGCAACCAATGGCAAATACAGTTCAGTACATTGCGCGCAAGACTACACAGTCAGCATGCGGCGAACAAAGACAACTATGATGTCTCTTGACCATTACACGAAGTTCTCATCGTGTTACCTGGAAAGCGTACGAACCTTTGTGCTTTTTTTCAACTCTCGACTTTTGAAATCTGAAATTGACTGTGGAGTAAAGAGAACTACAACGACGCTTACCTCTTTAGCAGCATTGACCCTCAATTCTTTACATGAACTGTCAGAAAACCATGACGCATGAGGCGTGTGTATCACATTAGAACACTGCGACAATGGATCTGGAAGCAGTAATGAGTCGAAGAATAGAGCAACGAAGCAATCGCGGACTCTAAAAATAATCATTCAAAACCGACTCATGATGCTCCCTTCGTAAGGTTCTTGCTCGTGAACGTCCAAAGCGGCACCTCTTACATGACCAGATTTCAAGAAACTTGCAAGGTCAGCCTTAATAGCTAAACCTCGTAATGCTGCTACTTGTGTAATATATAATGTTAATAGTCATATACTGTGACTGATAACAGAAGTGCTCACTTTACTATAAATGAGGGCTTTGAGAGAAAGGTGTTGAACGATGAAAAATTATCAGTTGTTGGTTCTTTGCCAACCGCTTTCTGAGGATACTTTAGTCAAATATTTCTCAAAAAGCAAATCCGTTCATTATACAGTATACTCCAGTGTGCTTTGTAACGGCTCGCTATCTTTCTAGAAAATTCACTGTCCCACTTCCGTAGAAGTTCCCTGACCTGGGTGCATTTTGCAGAAGCGGATGGTTTTTCATGAAAAGATTTACACAGAGACCTAAGCAAGTTATAGTTCCATGGTGCTGTTTTTGAACTAAATGGGGGATGCGGTAAAACCTCTCGCCCAAACGAGTGGTCATGGGTACGTGCGTTATGACGTTAGCCTGATGGAGACCATTCCTTTGAATATGGCTGGTCGAGGGCGCTAATATTCTATAGCTGCCTTCAAATTGTCCAGCTGAGTGAAATATTTCTCTGAGGGGATCGTTTGACTGTGCGGTAATAGCTCTCAATAGGTAATTCCTATCTAGTCCCATCAGCGCAGTCTTCAGCTCATGGGTTTTAGGGAGTGATTCATCGGGATTGTTCCATGATCGTTCTCGCTACATGTTCCACTTCCCACGTACACAACCCACTTTTCATCACTCGATACCATGCGTTTCAAGAAAGGCTGATTTTTGTTACGTTCAAGCAAATAATCGCACACAGAAGCGTGATTGAACAAGTTGCGCTCGCTCAGTTTGTGAGTTTCCCAAACATTAAGACAGCCAACAAAACCAAGTTCATCAAATAGTCGGTCGTGAGTAGTCGAAACTGAGCATCGAACCTTTCCGCTATTCCACAAGTAGGTGCGCGCTGATTCGCTGCTAACAACTATTTGATCTGTCTTTACAACTGAGGATGGTCTCCACTATCGTTGCCGAAGTTCAAGAGTGATTCCATCCTAATAATTTCTGCAGACCACTCACACAGTATGCATTCACGTAAAAAAATGCCTCCGTAACCTCACGCATCTTTTTCGCAGATTGAGCTGCACTGTTGCTTTTGTGGTAGAAAAAAAGCATTGGGTGTTAAAATGATATCAATGGGTCTCCACCTTTACATGGCTCTACACAAACAAAAGTCAAGAGACTCACAACTCTTCAGATGAAACTGTACGAGAACATGTGTTTCTTCGAAGAATATATACTTTGTTGAGGTTGTTATAAAGACAATATTAAAAGAGCTGGTGAACTCGATGCACTCAAAATAGGCAGGAATTTTCGAAGTGCTCAAGTAGAAGCAAGAGGCTTCGAAGCAGAAATGGTACTCAATCTCAGCCAAGACGAAAAGAAGCAGCTTAACAGAAATCACCTACACAGTTTTAACCAAATCTTATCATGCTTCTGCAATAAAACGGTGGCGGGACGTAATTAAGAAAAATCTCGTCGAAAAGAAACTCAAGGCAAAAGATGCTGCATATAGGAAGAAATGGAGATGGCTTATAAGAACAGGAGACTTTGCGAAGGCGCGGGACAAGGGCTAGGGAGAAGAAGACTTCCGTAATATCCGTTAAACATTTATCAGGTTCAAGCTAGCTTATTCAAGAAATTCATTTGGGAATAAGGTGCGTTTACCAATAACAATCTTTTATTCAAACTTCAATCTTTAATCTTCAGCAAACAATACGTTGGCACATAACTTACAAATACAATACACTGTCCACTCTGACGTTTTTTAAGAATATTCATTCGACATTGCATGAATTACCGTTGATATAGTAGCAGCGTTTGCGTAGTTGCATGACAGCTCTCCCGTAGAACACTGTAGCTTTTCTGTCAGAAAAGATTGGATAGTCATTTCAGACTGTCTGTTGAGGTACGATTTTTTGAAGAAGTGGTCTAAAAAGCGGAAGATGCCGTAATCCGTCGGTGCATGACTAGGGGAATCGGGTGGACAAGAAAAGTTATTACAGCCAAGAGTCTTCGAAATGTCACTCTGAATTTCTTTGGTGGATGGTGCCAACAGCCCTCATGGAGGAAACTTGACGCCCAGTGTAGCACCCTCTTTTATTCCACTAACAACAAATCAACAACGTCTCGGCGTTGCTGCCCACTGTGTCAACCACCCCAACTAGCGAGAGGGTGACTGCATGCCGTCCGGTGAGCCCACACACAACAAAAATATTTAGATAGGCAGTTGGAAACGTATTTTACACTTTTTTACTGTATCGGATGTGTGTTTCCAGTTGTAACTTACGCTTTCTAGATATATCTGTTCTTGAGCGAGCTGAGCTGAAGCCTAAAATGACGTTCGATAAAGATGAATCTCAAATATTTTTGGCTTCCTGGCTCTGAAGAAGGCGACAGGGCCCGAACTAAGGCAAATAAAAAGTTACAATATTTTGGCTTAGGCTCGACCAGCACACCAACATATCGATAACATATCATGCCAAGATTCACTGAGAGTCGATCATGTTCACTTCTAACACAGAAACACCTTTTTTGAATGAAAGGTACTCGTACGGCTAGTTGGCATGCAGCACGCACTTCTCACCGTCGGTAGCCATGATTGGCAGCCAGTAGAAGGTCCAAGTTGGAAGGAACATGGCGATATCAGGGGTGGAAAGTTTGGGACTGGCACCTCTTCCCCAGACTTCCCCTATTCATAGAGGTGCATGTTAGTTGTCTTCTGCTATATCCAAATCACACCATCGAACTTGCGTGAGATGTTATCAACGTCACAAAAAGAAGTTGAAAATTGATGGACAGCCAGCATGTATATCATCTTCATGAGAAAAGATGCCGCTGCTTCGTTCGAGTATACCACCGGTTCACCACGGTCCTATATACCGTCGCAGCTATACATATACGTGCCGCAGCCCATTCTCTCTACATGTCGGGTGTTGAACTTTCCTGGTCTGTTTGTATATCGTTCTGGGAGCCAGTCCACAAAGAACCACGTATGCGCGGTGAGGAGTGTGAACTACCGGGCGTGAGGAACGGGTTAGTTAATAGGATTTCTACTGGTACGGTTTTTATCGATCTACTAGCAATACCGTACATATTGTGACGTCACTGACTGGGAAACATAACTTTGTTGCAGGGTGGACCTTATTTAGTTCTTATTAAACTGGCAAGGCGGTCAAACCTTCGGAAGAGGACGTAGAGTGATAAACCTCTACTTGCCACTACCTGGCATCAGGGATCATCAAACACTTTGCTGACTGTTTTTCGTCCTGTTACATCTCTACTGCATAGATTCTTATCAAATTCGAGCGATATCCTGAATGTAAATGTTCATGGTGACTACGTACTCATGAAAACCCCTTGCTGTTGAGTATTTTACTCTGAATGCCTCATCTCCACCTGAGTGGAACTTCAGATGAAGCACTGCTGTGCATTCTACGTCGATGTGCGAGACATGAGAAATGTTTCTATGCTCTTCCTGAGCAACATCGTGGACAAACGGAGGTGGAGATGTGACGCACGTAATCTAACTAATTTTCCGAATAGTTCACGGTTGAAATGAACTTGGGGACGCGAGTTCTAGCTGACTTCTCCGGATTGCGAGAGTCGATGACAGTGCAACAGACATGCCATAGAACTCCAACAATACTCACAAGGTTTTTACAGCAACTGATCAAAAGCAAAAGATTGCGAGCCAATCTAATATTTATTAAAGATTTCCACCTTGAGCTGCTCGACTATTGTTTACTTACTCAGTGCTTCCTTATCAAATGCACTGAGTTCATCATAGGGATGACTCTTAATCATTGTGAGCTCTGCATTCCTACTCTAGATGATAGATGAGTAGAGGTCACTTACACATGGAGCCCCGTAATGGCATGGAATCTCCTCCCATTGTAAGCACTTTAAACGGGAATCACGTGCAATAGATTAAGAGATAGATATGTATATATAATATTATACTCTGAGAGCATATCATGCTCTGAGGTGGAAAAAAACCAGATATGCTGATCGATTAAATTACAAAGGTGTTCCATGACGTGCGTGCGGCACACACCAGCATTTCATTTGGAGAAGCAGAAAAGGCGCATTGGTCGGGAAGCACAATTTACCTTTTTTTCGTTGGGTAGACATGTGAACACGAATACTTGATTACATTGCGAATAGGCACTGTATCACCGCATTAGATATTCATTGAAATTAATTGTGAAAGCGTTGTTATGTTGATTAGATTTGTTAAGTGCACTTGTACATTTCACAGAAAAGTCTCGTTAATATTCCAGTATTTGGCTGTCTTCATGTAATCCTAGCCATAAGAAAGAGAGCAAAAGACAGAGTAAATGGTCAGCAAGAGTAGAAGGGTAAGCGTGGGCTCGTAGCTGAATGGTGAAAAGAATGAAAGATGGTCAAGCAAAAAGAAATTTGAGCAGACATTTCATGATGGAAAAATATCTCTTACCAAAATCGAATATACTAATTTATGGCGAAGTAAGACATAATCAACTGAGGTAAGCACTGGAGGAACATGCGGCTCGGAAAAACGCAATTAACAGAATGCGAAATAAAGGAAAAAAATGGAACAATGAAGAAGTGGCAGCTACAAGAAGACAGGAATGAGAAGGAGTGAAGTAGGAGTTGAATGCTGAGACATGGAACACGATTCAAGGCATGAAATAACCCATGGATTAGATCGTGGATGAATGGTACACTCCAGAAATACATTGTTGAGTTGGCATGTTGCGGAGTAATTCCCTCCTGCGGCTTTCTATGAACCTCCGTACAACTGTTGCATAATTGGAAGGTTTTCCTTTACTCTTAACAAGGTCTATCTACAAGCTTTCTAGGCTGACGAGCCGATGAATACTTTCATAACGATAAAATTTTGGGGCCTTAATCCATCCCGTTTGAAGGATGCGCCCACGCATTTGGCTTCTATCCAGAATCGTAGTGGCGTATTGAATGCGTATGTGGCCTATACAGTGAATTGCGGTGGTCAGCTGATGTACAAAACAGTGCTTTTGTCCTCCCTGTCCTGACAAACGATTCTGACACCAATTAACCGACCTTGGAGGAACGAAAGACTCACTTGGCCCGGACGTACATCGACACGGGATTCGAACTCGTAACCGCACGTGTGAGATAGTGCGCCACTTGCCAGTACACCACCTCTGCTCCGAGTGAACATATTCACAAATTACTGCAATTCTTTCAGGCTTGAAAGAAGGCGACTCTGTCGAAACACCAACCTGATGAACCTTATATGCGAGCCTTGTGAAGATTCTAAGGAGACAATTTGATACTACTACTCAGCACTTCAATGCTATGGTATGATGGTTTCGAGTTGACTGACAGCACTGAGACGTGGGCGGGATAAGGCGCAAACAAAGTAGTCACTTAACAGCACCTGCTCGCACTTTGTACAACCTTCAAAGTTTGCCTTGGTCTGTATTATTCAAAATATCCACGCGACAGCACCAACTACGCTCTAGAAACACGTTGGAAATGGGGCACAGAGTTGATTCAAGTGATTAAATTTCTACGCAAACGATCTCCTTCATTCAAGAAGGTGGTTATGGGAGCTTCAAATGTCCTAGGTGTACATGCTGTAATTTGCGGGAACAATATTGACTATGTCGTGGGCTGCGATCTGGAGTATGTCGTTTGGCGCGATGGGCGGGGTTCAGATCGCGTAATCTTCTGCTCTCCTCTCCTCTATAGATGATGGATTGGCTTCTATCATCTATAGAGAAGAGGAGAGCGGAAGATTAAGCGATCTGAACGAGTTGAACGGCGCGATGGGCGGAGTCGCGCCGCCTCAAATGGGCGGCGCAACCCCGCCCATCGCGCCAAACGACCGCCTCCTGCTGCGATCAGTATGCATGTTCTTTGACGATCGCGCTCAAGACTCATGCAAAGTCTTTGCTGGGAAAAGTGTTTTCGTTTGTGACTTCAAACCTCAACTTTTATATGTTCTCTGTCAAGGTCCTTTGTCTTACCATACCCTCTAATAGCCATGATATAGCATCATCAGACTACCACTTGTTTAGGTCTCTACAGAATTCTTTGAACGAAATCGTTCAATCCGCTGGAGGAATGCAAGAAGAACCTGAAAGGTTTTTTTTGATTTCCACTCTAGAACCTTCTATGGAAGTGGGATAATGAAACCTACAGGAAGATGGCGAATCATTACTGAACAGAATGGAAGATATATCGTTTGATCAATGGATTTCCTCTTCTTGAATTTTTCACTCAAATATGATCCAAATGTCGGCGGAAACTTTCCAACACAACAAATGAGTACTAGAAACCTCAGTCAGATGTTTTCATGATCAAGTGATCATCCATGACTGGAAATGTTTCAACATCCCTTTCGAAACTGAGCACACACAATTCTGTCACGAAAAACTGCACTGAACTTTGATTCAAGAAGAAAAAGAAAAATCACTCGAGAGTTGACGATAATACCTCGTCAACAAGACCTCCTCGGCTGGTATTGATGATGAATACACCCGGCCTACATTGTTTCAGTGTCTGCTCATTGATGATGTGCCGGGTTTCGTCCGTCAGTGAACAGTGTAATGAAATTGCATCGCTCTTCAGCAGTAAGTCGTCAAGAGCATAACACCTAAACTACCTCATAAAAAGTCATTGTAGTGACAAAATTATAAATCTGCTCGAAATTCAATCAAATTGAGAAACGCTCTGCGACCTCATGTGAATGTTAAGGGTAATCTCAGACATTATACTAGTCACTATCTGAAGAGATATGAGTAATCTACCATTCGCACAATGGTTGCTGTGGTGCAGGAGAACTTTGAAAAGCACTAGCTCAGATAAATAAGCTTATACACCTTAGTGCGGTTATGAGCATCCAAATTTTTGAGTGTCAGCTTTTTTCGAAAGCACTGCGAAAGCATAGAGACTGAAAGTAGCATTAGCGTTTCCTGAAAGTTGCATTCACTTAAAGCAGCAGCTTCGCAATATAAGTTTTGGTCTAATATTGACCATAATAAAATTAGTAGAGAAGAACGAGTTTGTTAATCTCAACAATAGTCTGAGCAGGTGAATGGGACCGACTCTGTCGCTGAAGTGGTCAATGTACGACCACAGACGATGCTGGGATGAGGGATAACTACCCACTTTAGCTGTTCAGAAAATTCAAAAAAAAGCGAATTAGCGTCTTTTTCGTGTTGTATTTGCTTCATGACTTGGGTGGTTTTCACTTCTTCCATATAGTATGTCACATAGTCCAGATGAGCTCCTCGAGCTCTAAAAAGTAGTGGAATGAAATTTCATGAAATTAAATTTCAAAGTCCTCCGTTCATCGAAGTTCCTGATTGTACGTTATCTGCGACAACACGCTATAATTATAACCTGGAGACACTCGCTTCCACTGAAAACACTGAGTGAGTTCCGGAAGAGCTAACATGAATTAAAACTAGACGAAAGTAGACCGTCGTTCCTCAGGTTGCACTGACTACTTCGAATCCGATTATTTCATAATGGATGAATTTGGCCACGCATCGATTTCAATAACGGTGCTTTCCTGAACTGAGAAATGACGAATATGAGTTTATTTCTATTCTTGATGATACTTTGGAACAGCACTTCTTTATAGTTCGTAAGCTGCACGCCTCTCCTCAAAAGAGAGATTTATCCAAACGTTCAAATCCCGATACGCGGCATGTTTTCACAGAGAACATACGTTTTCTGACTTTTTCAAGTGAAATTTTCCATATTCAGGGAGAAGTTCACACTTCTTCGCAAGTATTCATTCTCAATTCTTTGTGGACAATCAATATTTTTGAAAAAAAAAGTTACCTCTCTCGAGCTTCGGATTTTATATAGGGCTTCGACACATTTAACATAGACCTAAAGCGCAGTAGACTTGACCTCATTTCTTGCACATGGAGTGAACTTCCGAAAACTTACATTGTTCAATCCATTTCAAAAAAGCTACTCAGTGGTATAAAATCAATTCACAAATTTCGCTTCGGATTAACACCTTCAGTAGCATTCTCACTCACTCAGTCACCCAATTGTCCATCTGAGTCAGCTGGCTAAGACAGAGTATTCACTTAACTCGCTTCGATAAGCGTCCTCAACCCAACAGAATTAGAAACTCACGCTTTTCAATAAATATTTACGGCACCTATATACCACTGTTTCCAATGAAGGAGGTCACTTTGCAGAACAAGATGTTCGGTTTCTACCGAGATCGAGTCACACTTTCAAATTTGATTTTACGAAGTGATGGTACTATTTTTAGTTCAAAATTGTATTGTTCCTTTCTTACATACTTCTGTGAATATATTTGTGCGCAGCCTCTTCCACAGACGCTGGCTTCAGCACCTTGAACTCTTCCCACGTATTGTCCCCCGATATCAGTGGCCCCCGTGGTAATTACCAAGGGAGTTCCTTCAAACCTCGACAATAGCCTACCTATTGAAGGTGCCACAGTCGTAAACTATTTTACAATCTACATGTTCGAGTGCACTCACTACTAACACTCATTGATGGGCTTGAAAATGATGCAAGTATTCAATAATAAGTACAATGCGAACCATCATTACGTAGAATAAAATGTGAAGTATTATATGACTCAATCTCGGTAGATACCAAACATTTTGTTCTGCATCGTGATCTGCTTTGTTGTCAACAGTAGTGTACAGGTGAAGTGCCCATTCAATGAGAAGCGCGAGCTTCTAATTCTGTTTGGTTGATGGCCACATCAAAGCAAAATCAGTAAGTACTCTATCGCCATTTTTGAGTTTGAAAAGCCACTGTCTTTGAAAATGATGCATGACCAGATTAATCTATTTCAAAAAAAAAACGGTATCGAAATGAACAGTGCAAACTGAAGAATGCAAAGGTCTACCTGTCGTTCAATTTTGAAACATGTCAGCTATTCCAGATTTCACTGAGTACTTCCAATAGAAGCGAATGCTTTCTGGTTATAATTATAGCAAACGAAGTTGCTGATGACGTACCCTCAGGAACTGCGATGGACAAAGGTTCTCAAACTTGAGCTTTTTGAAATTTTCATTCCACATTACTGTAGAGCTCGTAGAGGAAATGAGTCATTTATGTTACTGCTATATGAAAAAAGGAAAAACCAGCCCAGTTATAAAGAAAACAGGATGAAGTCGCGAAGTCGTGTTTTTTTCTGTAATTTTTTTCGAACAATGAAGGTAGATATTGCAGAGTGACCGATATTTCAAAAACTTCTGCCTCCAAGCTCTTCTCCTGGTCCACCTATTCATCTTCAGAATCCCAGGACATGAAAAGTCTCGAATATTTAGCATGAAAACTATAGATACTTGTTTTACTTTGTTGCCGTCGCTTTATAAATAAAAATCTCGTGACTGCGAGTTCTTTTTAAAAGTGCAGAGAACCATATGACATGATGTAGTAAAACAAACCTTTCAACGCCGAGGGCTTTTTCGAATCCGTCGGGTACGAACGGATCATAGAATGCAATGTTCATTCCGAATGAACGAGCCCGCAGAGCGACGGCTGTTCCAACACGTCCCATACCAATGATTCCGAGCATATCACCCCGCATACGTTTACTTCCACCGGCGACCTCCCGGACGTGTTCTGCCCCGACCACCTGGAAATTTGAAACGATAAATGGAAAAGATTGGTCTGACCTCATACTAACTTCCATTATTGCACCATTATTAGAAGCTCTAGACATCCTTACTCAATTTTCATTGTATATATCCTTACAGTTTATATAAAGCAACTGTGTCTGTCTGCTTCTCTGTATGTCGTCTGTCGTACTGTCACGAATTCAGTGTTACCTGAAGAAGCACCTTAAGAGGGCGGGTTAACTTTGAAGTGGGTGAACCATAGGGTATGGTCAAAGAGCACATGTGAGCTTAACGGAGCTCCATCATGAAGAACGTGGCATGCACCGGAGAAGATGGTGCTAGATTAAAAACTTCCTAATTTGTTTCTAGAACAGCTTAGATACCGGAAGAGATGTGCAAAGATGAGTAACTGGTCGATAATGGAAGCAAAGGAGACCCAACCGCGGCGATCCTCGCAGCAGGCTACGACTTCTTCCGTAGCTTGTAGCCAAAAGATTCCCTACGAGTGAGGAAGATTCAAAGTGTGTCAAGCATGCCTAAACTCGACAAAGCTCTGCCTACCAAGAGCTGGGCGTGCACACAAATGAAAGGACATAAAGCCTGCAAAGTCTGCATAAAGGATGGGGCGTACACCGCTGCTAAGATCAAAAATTCGCAGCTCTCTTTAAAGACATTATTGAATGCCACGAATGCGTTAGCCTGCTTTAGCCCAACTAATTATTTGAGGCAGCTTTTAATCTAGCAGGGTATACTATATTCACAACTGGCACATACCTTCTAACTGCAAACCATGGACTTCAAGATGCTGAAATCACAGAAGATTGACTCTACTCCAACTAGGAGAGGACTAATGAATGAAAACTATGCAACAGATTGGGAAAAGTCATCTTTGATTCTCAGACATAGTCGCAATATTCAATGTGCCAACACAATGTACTGCGCGTTTGACCGCATTTCGCACATATTTGTTACTCCTTCACAGTTTGCGACAGCAGTTTCCGCTAATGCAATGAGCACATCGAATTCAATGAATGACGATCGAACTGAGATGCCCAATGATTTGAATTGAAGCTCATCTAATCACTTCATCCAAGCTACAATTGATTTACCAAAATGAATATCCCTCAAGCAAATTCAAGTCGTTTCCGAATTGAAGTCGTTTTCTGCAGCACTGCACACACGATTACTGCGTCAATGAACAATATGAAAAATGAGGAAACGTAAGGCTACTCACTTTTTTTCCTTCACTAACGGCTTTAGCCAACCAATATGTTCGTCTGTAGAGATTTAGTATTAGAGACATGGTGAAATCAGCTATTTCTTCTATGCAATCTCCAGGCGTGTGGCATACGGCGATTCCTGAACAATTAAGGAAAAACGATGAGCTCATATCATGCACCCTGATTCTTACAATTCTTAGAGACTTATGTTGACATGGTGGTGTGGGCCTCACCTCATGCCTCTTATGTAACAGCGTCTCATCTCACTTTGAAACGAGTTATTTACGAAACGTAATAAAATCGCAAAAAGGGTAGTGGCGCTGCGAGATTCCTGGTATTAGGCGTTCAAAAAGCGAACCTGTTCCCGCAAATGTGAGCGCTTGATGAACAACTAGTGAAAGTTTCAAACAATGAAATTGAATTGGTTTAGGAAAATAAAGCAGTCACGAGAAGGCTTGAGTTTCATTACCAGACTATTTAAGCTAAAAGCTCACAAGATTAGTGTAGTATACAGAGCCGTTAAAACCTTCAGGCCTCACAATAACGTGCAGTCTGTCGATTGACGCTAAGTGGAGATCATTTGATGAACATGAAGGCTGCTTAGAGCGACATCTCACACCAGTACTACTATACGCATTAATCAATCCATTCAGAGAACCGATTTATTCGAGCAATGCTGATTTGTGATGGTGTGTAATCAAAAGCTTCTCCCTTTTGATACTTGAGGACAGGTTGTTTTTCTCAAGTACCAAAAGTGGGGGTCGTCGGGATTCCAGTACTAGTTAGGAAAGTAGTAATTAGTAACTCATCAATGACAGATTATACGCGCAACAAAGTGTTACTCAGTAGAACGGATTTGATAAAGATATGGGGCAACCCGTAGCTCCGACGAGGAATGATTGGTTTGGATGCCTTTCTGATGAACCTGCTCAAAACACCTTATTCATTCAACAAGCTTGATAACATGGTAGTATAGTACCCATCTGTTTAGTTCCTGAGCACGTGAGAACATTAGATACCAATTCCCTGGGCATAAAAGGTTAGCATTCTTAGTCTTCTTTCTATAAGCAATTTAACAGAAATTATCCCTGAATTAGATGAGGGATACTGAAATTCTCTAATGACCCTCCCGACACAGTGGCGAGAAATGGGTTCAGGTGTCTCGGAAACTCACTCGAGGGTGACCATGTCACCTCTTCTTTCCTTTATTTGACTTTTAAGACACTTGCGTAGAAGGAATTTGCTAATTCTGCGTCAACAGGTCGTAATGCGGATAAGGGAAGGGGCCTTAGGGGCAAATACATGTGTTTGCGAATGTAAATAGAATTATAATATAATGTGAGATCAACTATGCTTCTCTCACACACCCCTTTGAAACTCTAACCTTATTTGCACTCATTTCTGTTGAGTGAAGAGATGAAGCCACTTAGCCTCGGCGTCAGAAATGGCTCATACTTGTCTTGGCTGGCGGGTTACGTTTAGTGCCTAATAACCTAGTCAGTAGGAAAGCGCGACTTGCTTTTTTTGTAGTACTTACCCTTTAAAGGCAGTCACATATGAGTGAGCATAAAGAATGTCCTCAAAATCCGTTCACCTCGTGATAACGCTCAGACGTACAGGTAACAAAATGCACTTACCCAATTCTGTGGCCGCTTTCACATCAATGTTGTCAAAACCGTAGCCAATTTTCACCACCACCCGTAATGCTTTGAACTTTTCCAAATCCTCTTTTTCGAGTTTGATAGAGTGATACATAAGAGCAGCGACAGCCTCATTCAGCACCTGAACCACAACGATTCGACATCGGAAACCTGACGGAATATCAGCTCTCCAATAATTTGGCTAGGTTGCTTTTAGCTAATTCAACGACAAGAAATACTATATGCCAGATGCAAACAGCCGCAGGGATTCCTCACTCATTTCGTCGTTGCTTCGACAGAGAGACAGCATAATTGTGAACGACAATTGCGCGACTCGCTACTACCTAAGTATTGATTAAAGAAGGCATTACTACTACGATACTGGTTTATTGCCTCGGCCAAGAATATTAAATGACATAGTTGAGCTCGCGACTGCATATATATATATATATATATATATATATATACCCGCGCACGCACATACATACATACACACCAGCGTTTAAGTCATTGGTAACGCGTCAGTTGACGAGTGCATTTATTGGTGCTCTCCGCTCTCGTGCCCTCTTCGCTACGAACCCCAACCACCAGTAGGGTTTGATACTGAAATAAGAACAATGATCATGTCGATTGTCGATGAAGATGCCTTATGAATCTAGGTGTCATTGTACACAAGCTGCGCAGCTGTGGGGAGTACGACGGTAAACGGAGTTAATGCCCATCAATTCGTACACTCGTGGCCGCGCTCTACTCCTGCGATTAGGTCATACAGCGCGCACGCTTGCGGTCAGTGTGTTATCCAATTACTTACTTGTTGTGGGTATCAGGGTGACTTACGTGGATAATTCGCACAATTCGAAGAAAATCAATGGGAAGTGAGTAGAGGATGAGAGCGAGGGGTGAGGGTGCACAAGGATTGCGAGGTGAAAGGGCCTACCCATAGTCACGAACACCAACATGATCCAATCATGTCAAACGATAGAACCCAGAAGCCATTTCGTCTCGTGCGAAATGCTATTTCAGTTGCTCGCCAATACTGGTCAGATAATTTTTAGAGGAAAACAGGTTTTGATTTGAAACCAAACATGCATTTTGGTTGGGTATGCTGACGGAGAAAACTTACTTTTTCGTGAATTTCATGCGTGGATTGCGCGTCACAAAAAGCTACTGTGGCGACGTCTTTAAGCAAAGGCATCTCGATGGTGCAATCTCGTCCGTCCAGCAGCGCCACCAACGGTCGTGCACCAGTTGGTCCGTTCATATTACGCGCCGATGACACTGTAGAAAAGTTAGAATAACGAACATTGACAGCAGTGGTACTTTCAAAACATTATGTCAACCTTAAAAGGGTAAAGTACTTCACATGTGAAATCATCAGCTATGTTTGAAGCTGACATTACGCTAAATCAAACAAAACAGGCTTAATATACATCAAAGTTCATTATGTTCAGGGGTCTGTGGTGTTTCTAGTAAATAGGAATCCAGATACAACGACAAATAGAGAAGAAAAAAGGAATTTTAAAAGATTCCTCTTGGGCAATGAGGTTCAGCGCCTTGATTTCGAGCAAACATTGGAGCCAGACTCCTATTTTAATGCCTCAGTTCTTATCAGCTCAGCATAATCAGTAGTCAAGAATGATTAATATCCATGCTCACTTGCAACAAAAAGGTTGGAGTCATAAAAAAAACTGCTGGTTAAAAGAGAAACTGACTGGCGATTATGCCGTGAATGTTCTGCGGTGGCTCGACGGACAGTAGTGGCGCCGACTCTGTAGTCAGTGGGCAGGGGCTCGTATCTATAAGGTGAACACTTGTTAGTAGAACTCTGTTCCTGCCTTTCTCTATCTATCCTTACTCAAAGGAGGGAGGAAATGGAGTTCAAAGGGTGAGAACTCTTGCGGAAGAGATGGGGCATGAACAGAGCTGGGAGAGGAGGGCGGGAGCCCACTGCGTGATAGCGATCTGCGAGAAGCTCAGAGAGAGGTTACCCTTCCCTAGACTTGTTCGAGCTCCTTATTCCTCTTTTTGATCCATGGCAGTGATAGCATACCCATCACTGCTGGGTCCACTAGGCTTCGCTGCCATCCCAACAGCACGGAAGAGACGAGCAGGACCAGCACGTTAATAACGCCCATGCGACCAGTTGTTTGGCCAATCAAGTAAGAAGATACCTAGCACAAGGCACGCAACACGGCTAATAACGCACGGGCTCCCTTCCCTAGAAGAAACCGTTTGTATAAAACATGACGAAGATCTTGATATGATTGCCTTTAGCAGGTTACTTTTGTATTGTGCTCGATGGACAAAAAGTCAAAAGTCTACTTCCCAACGGCCACCTTGAGTACTAAATCGCCGAAAACTGAGATGTGCGAAAAGCGGTATTATACTCTTTCTGAACCTATAATGTGGACGTGAGGGGAATTCGGGGAGCGGTAGTGAACACTAGCCTGGAAACGTCCTCGAATCGAAAAACCTTTTTTTTAGACAGCTCTTTTTTATTTAAAGTGCAACATTCCTCTGAGCAGATATATGAATTTTCTAGTAGTTTTCGACGAAGCACGGCTGACTGAGTGATCGAGTAAGCACTAGCACTATTGGGAAGCAACGGCCTTCCTTTTTCAACCAAAAGCTTTTCGATAACATGCACTTACTATGATAATTTCAACTAGACTGCATGTAAAAGGCCTAGGAACATATGATGACACTGTAAGATTCATTCAAGGGACGAGCTTTATACTCCGACGTTCAGAGAAGGATTTAGAAACGTGTCAGTTCAAAAATATAAATAACGAATCAGCGTGAATTCACATGACCAAAGATTTGTATAGAAACACGACCATAAAGGCTTTAAATGCCTAGATGCCGATCAGATACTATACTGACTAGAATGTTCCAAAGTAGCATCAGGAGAAGAGGCCCAAAACCTTTAGCAACAACAACGATATTCTAGGTGATCAGAAAATCCTGACATTTGTGAAAGTAAGTAGTTTGCGATTTGGCATACTTGCATAAGTAACTATATAAATAACATACGTTATCCACGAGACCCCCCCCCCCTCATAGAAACTGCACATTTTTTCACTGACTGTCATGCAGCAAAATTTGACAATATGTTTTATGAAACTTACCTTCTTGCGCTTTTTCACAAAGTAGTGTGCAAGAACTGATTGAAAACGACCAAAGTAGAAATGAAAAGTGTGAGATTTTCTTCTAAAAACTAGGCAACTACTACAAAGGGGGAGGGGGATATTTTCCCACAACACTACATTTAAAATGCTGCTTGAAACTGCCTAGAAGTAAGTATTCGAAATTTCAACATCCGCAACTGACAGGGGAATCGAAGCGGAAACAAGTCGAGTGAGTTTATCATATGATACAACAATTTAAGACGGGAATGTCGTTGGTAATGGTGATCATGTATACTTCAACTACGTGAACAAAACAAGAAAGAACAGAACATAGATAATGCGTCTTTCCTTATAAAATGGTAACCTCCTACATATCTAATATGCAAGAAACTGAACCAAAAACAGATCCTAGGAACTTTGACGAGCCTGAAGCTTCCATGAATGCAGCTGAGTGAATTGAGAGCTTGAATTCGCTTCTTTCACAAGTTAGCTACTTGACTAGCGCCCGCAGTATGTGAAATGAGGTCTCAGCGTGTGAGGTCGACGAGTGCGTTTGAGAAATGGCAGCGGCGAGAGCGGCAGCGTTGGCGGTGCCGGCTGCGTTTCGGGCGCCCTCCTCGCGCTAACAAGTATTCGACATGAATTAGATATGGGCATCGCTGGGTATGCCAGAAGAGAGTTCTATTAAGAGCATGGTCGCAAATAAAGGCACACACGATGACGACGAAACGCCGCCTGCGCTGCTGCCACCACCGCCGTCCCCATCCCTTCGCCCTATCCTCTCTTCCCTCGCTCAGTCACTCTTGTGGCGACCAGCGTCTCTTTAGTTCCCGGCGCAGCGGCACCAAAGTACCGATGAGGGAGACCTCAATATGCAAGTTTGACTTTCCGACTTTTGATAATGAATTCGATGAAATGGTCGTCCGAGGGAGGCATATCAAATGCTGTTGGCTGTTGCTCAACTTCTGTAATAAGTGAGCTAAGCGCACCGTAAATTGTGTGGTAACCAGTTAATATACTCATGAAAGAAGTACCCGGCGTTTCTTTCCAGTTCAACAAAGAGGTTTGGAGCAGGAAGAAATAATCATCAAGCAAGATACACTCGGAATTCCATATGATTTAATACTCTACAACGATGCTCCTTCTTTTCTCTCCATAACTGAATCTTTCACTCACTGTCACAGTCTCCAAAAACAATAGTGCTACTGTGAAAAACAACATGGCCATGCGACATCCCTCCAGACGTCATAGGATGTCTCGATTAAGATTATCTCTCCACGACAAACCCTTCGAAATCGAACGAAAGCATAAAAGCACTTCATCGAAGATGTCTTAGCAATGAGCAGATTAACGTATAGGAGATGCGTCATGGTGCAGAAAATTTCAGAAGTAAAAAGTAATCGTGCGAGCGAAGTACTAGGCATGATCATAAGAACACTAACGCCTAACTCCCATACAATCGTTCGGTGATTGGGAAACACAAACGCACACACAACAATCCGGAAACTCATTGGGAATATGTAGCGAATGTTCTGATCACTGATCTATTTCAGAATATGCACAATTTTGATTAGAGGCACCGCTCACGATAAAAAAGTTATTGAGTTCTTACCTTATTAATACTCAACGGCCCCCATGGATTGTAGAAGAGACCCTCTCACTCCCCCGATCTCGACGTCCAGAGCATAGTGGCAGCTCCGTTGTTGCCGTAGTTCGCGTGCCCGCCCCTCGATCGGTGTCTCGTTAGACGAGTGTCGAGACAATACATATTGCTATTATTCGTTCTAGGACCCACGCACAATCAGCTAATCGCCGAGTGATGAGGCGATGTTTTTCTCCCATTCTTTTTTTCTCTGCTTTTCTTTTTGCTGCCGCGATCTCTTATTTAATTTCCTACTCCTAGAGGCTGAAAAAGGTGAGCTACTTTTGCTGTTACTAAGGTTTTTTTGTTTATTTATGCATATAAGTGAATGAATTTTTGCTTACCATTGTCTGTTCTTCGCCCCAGGACCCACACGCGCGCAGTGAAACACACTGTTTAGCTCGTCCGGACGCCCCACTCTTCTTCATTTTTCTTGTTTCATTCTCGTCCAGCCCCCTTTTTAAAAGTTTTTGGAACTTTGGAAACAACCTTTTTTTGGAACCTTTTTTTACTTTGGAAACACCGATGCACGCAGTTTGTTCATCTCATCGCACTAGTTTCGATCTTGTCTCCCATTTTTCATCATAATCTGGATTACCCGAAATTATGTGAACGGTGCCTTTAAGAGTTCTACCTTCACAAAGTCCCGATTTCATTTGTCTGGTTGTCCACCCGCCAGTTTATTATTACTAGGGCATCAAGTAGCCAATATATTTCTATCGATGTGGAACTCCAAAAAATCCTCTTCAGCCTTGCTGGAATAGATAACTTGGTCCTGAAGGCTTCCCAAAGCTTCAATATAGTCAATATCTTCGAGCTCAGGTCATATTTGGATTGTCACTGCTATTTCAATGACTACTTAACTATCATAATGAAGCAAACTAAAATCTTGCGGAAAAGATTGTGCGAATTCAGCAGGGAATGAAACATTCAGAGATAAGTGACCATGTGACCATTATGAGTCCTTGTGATTTCACCAAATCAGATGTAGGAGGACAAGTGTAAAGAATCGAACAACACTTCAAACACAAAATATGTTGAGTAGTGAAAGAAAAAGAATAAAGAGTAATGGTATGTACTGCTTGCCATCATTCCTTTCTCAGCTAGGAATTGCTTTCTTATCGGGTAAGCTTAATTCATCAGAACAAGGGTAAGATACCGGATAAGAAAGTAACTTTTTTCTTGATTCTAATGGATTATCTTCTTAGATTGATCCTCAGAGAGTAGTAGAAAGAAATGATTGGTAAGCAGTAAATACAAGGCCACGTAGCTCTTTCAGTTGGAAGATCTTTTGAATTTCCACTCACAACAGATCGAAATTCAAAAAAAGCTAGAATAGAGAGGTGCGGATCGAAGCGATTTAGTGAGACCAACGTCGACGCTCTCTCTATTCCACACCAACAATCTCTCGAAATCACTTACTTCGAAATGACTTGCTGTGAGCGAATTGGCATGTGGAGAATCCCACGGATAGCAAAAGTACCGCTGATG